AATATTACACAGCGACGTTTTAAAATCGTTATTAAAACGTTTAATAAAAAAGATAACATTCTTGATGAAAATTGGTGAAAAATTGGTTGTGATATAACGTTCTGTAAACGTTGTGATTTCGTTCTATTTTATACACTTGTTTGTAAGGTTTTGCGTACGTTTTTGTTAACGGTTTTTTAACATTTTGGTGCAAAAGTCTCAGAAAGCATACTTTTATAACGTTAACGTTTTAAAAACGTTTTGAAAACGTTCCATAAAAACGAAACCCAAACTAAAACCAATTCAAAACGTTTTTTAAACGTTTTGTGTTAGCTGGGTTGGTCCTCCAGGACTAGCCTGGTTCTGGCCTAGCCATAGCAACCCCTGGTAGTAGGCTAGCCATAAACCTTCTGATGGCACCCTTTCCTAATGGTGTAGAGTCGTTTCGGCCCTGAGTCAATTCGGCCTGGGTCGATTCGGCCACGGGTCGTTTCGGCCCGAGTCGTTTCGGCCCAGGTCGTTTCGGCCCTGAGTCGTTTCGGCCCACGAATAATAATTTAATAGAACAAGGTGGCTAATATAAGCAGTATACCGTTTGTTAAACATGAAACTTAGGCTATATTACTGCAACATGATCAGATAGGCCTATTAACAATTTTTTTCTAGTAGTATTTTATTATTATTATTATTAATATTATTATTAAAGAGTTCATTGCAGTATCAAATGGAGTTATCTTTCTTTTTACAGAATCAACACAAAAGAAATTATTAACTACAGTATAATTTGAGGAAAGAAACGTTTTCAACAATTATGTTGAGGTGAAGCAGACACATGGTTTATATCTTCTTGTTTGTTGTATTTCCATTGTCGATACATATTTTGATTAGGCATGTTTATAAAATACACAAATAAATCAGGGGCGGATTTGGGGTGGGGGCGGCCCGGCCCCGGCTCTCCCTTTTGAGAGGTAAAAAAAAAAAGAAAAAAAAGAAAAAACGATAGCCCAGAACGCCTCAAATGTTATTTTCGGACCCCCTAGTTCAGTGTTGTCTCGATCGGCCCAAATTTCGGCCCCCTTCACCCCCCCCCCTTTGGACATCTCTGGATCCGCCCCTGTAAATTGAAATAGTAAAATATAGTTTAAATAAAATTTATAGCCCTACAATGTTAATGGCTGTTTCAGGCTTCTTTTGATATTAAGTATGCCGGAAATTTCACTCACAAGGCCTATTGTTGCATGGAAACTAACTATAAAAATCGGAAAGAACCGCCTACAAACAGGTTCCCACGGTACTCTTTAGGGTGAAGCAGACATCCTTTGCCGCCTTCAGGAATGTGTGGGCGCACTGATGCAAAGAGTGAAGTAGGTCAGATGATAAAATTAGACTGGCTATTTTTAGGTGCAAACACATGCCATGGCAGTGAATGCGTACGCGTGTGTTCACCTCTTGTCTATGGTTCCGATTAAAAAAAAAATTATTCAACTTTGTTTAAGCTTTAATATTTCATTTACCGTATATGGACAGGGCCCTTGTCGACAGGAGCGGATCCAGAAATGTCCGATAGGGGAACCGAAAATGGGGCCGATCGAAATAACACCGCCCTAAGGGGAGGTCCGCGAAATATTTGTTTTCTAGACAGACGCTCGAATGTAACCTCTGAGGCGTTTTGGGCGATACATTTTCCCCCTTTTTTAACTTCCTAAAGGGTGACGGGGCTGAGGACGCCCCCGGCGCTGTGTAGGCTCTGTCTCTTATACACATCTAGATGTGTATAAGAGACAGATATATATATATATATATATATATATATATAGTGTCCTATATAAATATCTATATGCTAAAATTGGGATCGTCCCACTTTTATTTCATCATAATGTCTTAACCTACATAGATATATTACACATAACATATAGTCTACATTTTAACAGTTATTATATATATTAAGTAAATAATAGTATGAAATATATATCTGTTATGAAATTACTTAGTACACGTCTCTTTACTGTTCTACATAAGTGTTCAGATATCGACTATTGTATTCTTTATTTTTTTTAATCATTTTCTTTAATTGCTTGTCTACCATCACACATTTATTTATACATATATTTATTTAAACTTATCTAGATCGACCATAGACCATTTAGTTTTTGCTTTTTCCTTATTAATTAAAAATTCACATGTAATTAGTCTGTTTAGTTCAGATAAAAACATCACCCAAGGACATTTTGTCCTCAAACATAATCTATTCATTATTTTAACTTTATAAATACAAAACGTCAATATTGAAATCATTTCGTTGACTCTATCGCTATAGCTTCCAATAACGATTTTGTTCCATTGTAAGTTATCATAGATTTTAAAACATGATCGCATCGTAGTGTGTAATTTCGTCCAACATGCTTCTATATATTTGCATTTAAATAGCATGTGCTCTTCATTTTCAGTAATATTACAATACTCACATAGATTGGTTGCAGATAATTTCCATACATTTAGTCTATGTTTTGTAGGTCTATGTAAAAATTTAAAATTGAACTGTGCAATTTTTTTTATATGTAACATTGAATTTATTTTACTCTTCCAACATAGGTCCCAGTCTATTGCATCCATTTGTAACTCCATTTCCCACCTTTTTTGAGCATTTTGTATAATATATTTTCCATTTATAAATGACACATAAAAATCTTTAACTTTTAGTTTACTTATGGAAGGTGTATCAATAATTTGAACATTTCTGTGCACTAAACAAAAAGGTTGGTGTGCTACAATCTTTTTCCAGTTTTTTGGAATTGCATTCATTAACACCATGTATTCTATCATACCATTTTCTGTTTTTAAAAGCTGAGGGATAATTTCACCCAGTTTTTAAAATCTATTATCAACAATAATATCTGATATGGTTTTAATGTGTGAGTCTACCCATGTTTTGCAGAAAACAGATTTGTTATTTATTTTTATGTTTTTATTTTCCCAAAGTCTTTATTTCACAGATGCATTGTGGCTGTTTTGCATGCATATTATTAAATCGTGAGCAAGTAAGAAGCAACTTCCTATAAAAAACTGGCATTTTATTTAGCGATAAATGCTTATCTAAATTTATGTCGGTTATACCTAATGTATACTTTACTGGGTACATATAAAAACATGGAATGCACTTCCATTTACCGGGATCTGGACTTAAAAGTCGTTTGACCCAACCTAACTTGAGTGAGTCTAGCATTGAATTAATGTCTATCATATTTAGACCTCCTTTGTTTAGCTCTTGGATGATCGTGTTTCTTTTTATTTTTTCTTTTTTTCCATTCCACAAGAATTTATATATAATTTTGTTTACCTTGGGAATAATTAATTCTGGCATTTCCATAATGCTTGCATTATACACAAGTTTAGCAAGAGCAAGTGTTTTGATTACTCTAATCCTTCCGAAGAAGGATAGCTTTCTTTTTTCCCATAGTTTTAAAACTTGTTCTAAATTTAACACTTTATCATCCCAGTTTTTTGTGTTACATATTTTCTTGTCATAACCGATGAAAATTCCTAGAAACTTTACTGGTTCCTTAATAAAAGTAATCCCACATGTATCATTTGATTTGTTTTTATTACAACCAATCCACATACCTTTGGTTTTGGTTTTATTAAGTTTCAGACCTGAAACACTACAAAATAATTCGATTTCTTTAAAGAAATTGCTTATGCTTATTTCATCTTTTGCAAATAACACAGTATCATCAGCTAATTGAGCTATTTTTACATTCTCTGTTTCATGAAATGATGGTAGATCAATACCTTTACACAATTCGTTGTTTCGTATATTAATTGCCATTAATTCTACTACTAAAACAAATAGCAAGGCTGAAAGGGGACATCCTGTCTCTTATACACATCTTGCTCTTCATTTTCAGTAATATTACAATATTCACATAGATTGGTTGCAGATAATTTCCATACATTTAGTCTTGAGAAATCTTTGATTCTAGTTTTTAAGTATTCCCATAATAAATCCGGCGTAAGATTAAATTCATTATTTTTTATATTTTCAATAATATTTATTATATTTTTAGTATAATCTTCATCATTTAAAAAACTGTTATTAAACTTCCAAGTTCCAGGTCCTCTTTTCTCTTGGTAATTACGGAGTTTAAGCGAGATTGCTTGATGATCGGAGAAAATTGATGGCCTAATGTCTGTTTGAACTATTTCACCGTGATTTTGGAGGGCGCTAGATACACTCCAAAAGTCTAACCGTCTGTATGTATTTTTTCGCCTCCATGTAAATTGAGATTTATCTTTGTTGCAGTTTCTCCATATGTCGACGGTTTCTCCATATATCGACGAGTTTATGTTTATACATACAATTCTTCAAGGCGAGTGGTGAACTATCATAATTATTTATGCTGTTTCTTTGATCTAACTTATGTTGTAAAATATAATTAAAATCGCCTCCCATTAAAATATACTCGTCTTTTTCTTTACAAAGAGAATTAATTTTCTTTTCAAGTTTTTTAAAGAATAGTGTCCTTTCTTTATAGTTGTTTGGAGCATAAACGTTTATAAGATTAAACATGTTTTTATTATATTTAAGACTCATGATAAGTATTCTGCCCCCATCATCTATGTATTTGCTTTTAATGTCAGTTATGTCTAAATCTGGCTTAATTAGTATTGAGACGCCTCTACTTTTGCTTGTTCCGAAACTATGGAACATTTCCCCCTTCCAAAACTTGTCATATACACTTATGGATTTTTTTTTTATCAAAGTGTGTTTCCTGCAATAAAACAATATCGGCCTTTTGATCATCAAACCATTTATATATTTTTCTAATCTTATATGTGTTCCTGAGACCTCTCACATTCAATGAGATTAGATGTAGAGGATTTTTATTTAATTTTCTTTTCATTTAAATTTTTTTTAAAAATATAATTATCTGGTTTTTTTTTCTCAATAAAATATTATTTACAAAAAGAGAATAATTGTAAGTCGCTTCTGTCATGACTGACAATAAAGCCAATAACATACTTTAACTTACAGAGTCAGATTTCTTCTCTTTTTTCTCTGCATTCTTTTCACCACTGTGAGTTATTATGTTTCTTTTCGATCCGGCAAAGTTTTGTCTGGCGACAGAAGCACTTTCAACGTGATTGTCTTGAGCAATAACCGCTTCTGGAATCCCTGCTGTAGCAAAGTCCGTTATCGGTCTCATTCCTCTTATGCTCTTGCCTGCTTTTTCAGCATGCTTATTTTCCTGTTCATCCTTTTTTGTTTTCTTCTCACGCTTCTTTAATTTCTTCCTGTCTTTTTTCGTTAACTTGAAAGGTTGTTTGTCTATATCTGTGTTCCCTTCGTGGTTGATAGACTTTACCCTTTCAATAGCTTCCTGCATTATTTGTTGAACCTTTTCATCTAACTCGACGGAATCCTGAGCGTTTCCGGGATTGGCAGGTTTATTAAGAAGGTGTTCGATAATTTCGATCACGTCTCTCGATTTATCCGTTGATGACTCTTTATCTGGGTATGCTTTATCACTATCATTGTGCTCTACTGTGTGTTCTTCTTCCTGTACGTCGTTATCCTCTTCATCACTGTCCGAAATATTAAGATCGGTTTCGGAACTTGCTTTGTCATTCAAGGATGTTGGTGTGTTGTCATCTAGCTGAATCATCTCTTTGCAATTTCTTGCCATGTGACCAGTTCTGTTACAAGTGTGGCATTTTATTTTCTCTAGCTTTTTTGGACAACCATTGGCTCTATGCCCGGGTAGTCCACATTCAAAGCATTTATTTGCGTCTTTCTGATCTTTGTGAAATATTCTGGCGTTAAAGTTGTTTATCTTTAAGAATCTTGGCAAACTGTCTTTGAATGGTTCTACAAAAACAGCGCGGTCGCCGTTTAGAAATCGGGACAGTTTACCTTTTATTCTGAATTTGACGTATTGCACTTCTCCCAAGATATTACAACCTAACTTTCTTAGGGCATCTGTTATTTCTTGGTTTCGTACAGATAATGGTATGTCCTTTAATAGAATTCTAGTAGATATTTCTCCGCTGAGGTAAGGATTTACGTCATGTACGTTCACATGCTTACCTCTTATGTTAAGTCCTGATGTTATGACCTTCACACGTTCGCTGTGATCATCGATATAAACTCGCCATAAGTTTTTAACTTTCTGTAAACCGACAAGGTGATCACAGTTCATAACTGTATTCAATACGAAGTAAATATCTTCCTCTTTTAGATATTCCTCTTCCTTTTTCCTAATATCGTCGTCTTTAATAAAGACAGGCTTAACATTTTGTTCATTACTACGATTCGTTGTCGCCATGGCGACAAGCGGTTCGCGAACAATCGCTACTGAATTTGTGCTTATTGGAGTGTATCCTCAGCGACAGTCCACTTGGCTTGTTGTTAGGGTAATCAATGGGGTGTTACTGATCGTCCTTGTCTGGGTATTTCTTTGGCGCTAAAACAAAGCTGTGTTGAGCCTTGGGCTACTCGACAAACTGCCTTCAATCAGGCGCCAGGAACATCCAAAAGCAAAATTTAAGATTGGTAAATACTCACAAAACCTTATCAATAAGAACTTATGTCACGATCAACGATTTTAATCAGATTCACTTAAAGAAAACAGGATTTTATACGAGTGGATAGATAACTGTACGTGTACAGTTAGTACGCCACCAATCCAAAAAAACATTGTACTGTTGTCTTTGTAAATTCTAAAATGATGATAATGATGAAATATTGTTTGAAGGTTTGCATGTTGAATTAATGCTGACGGGACAACGTAGATAGGCCTAGTTCTGAAAAGATTTTTTTTTTTAGAATCTTCCTTTGTTGACAAATGAAATTACTAGCCGCGAAAACAAACATATGAAATTCAGATATATTTGATTTAACAATTAAAATAACTCAACAAAACACAAAAACCTTTATTTCAAAGGATCATTTTAAGAAATTGATAATATAATTTTACTGTCTTGTACACTTGACTTTTCAGTACTGGGAACTGCAAGAAAAAAGAACATTGTTTTTGAATAACCACATACTGTAAAATTATACTCAAACTAATTAAAATTTCTGAAACAATAACAATTGTAATAATAATCATACTGAAAAATACAAAAAAGAAAAAGTATTATGTATAGTCAAGGATCGTAAAAAAAGACAAAATAAATCATACTAAAACGCACAAAAAAGCTCTTTAAAAATACAGAACTCAAATAGACCATGGGCGTACTTGGCGCTCCATGATACTACGGCTGTTATTAATTGCAATCGAAATGCTTACAAACAATATGGCGCGACCACTTCTAACCCGGGTAGGGCCGAAACGACCCGGCCGAATCGACCTAGGCCGGATCGACCCAGGGCCGAAACGACCAGAAACCTTTCCTAATAAGGCCTGGGCCTAGCCTGTAATTTTAAATTGAATACTAAAATAGGCGTGTTAAAAAAGGAATCTCTGTTAGTCTAGGTGAATGTCATATCCAAGCTTGTTTGTGGCCAAAGTGGACCTACCCATAGGTGCCTGATTTGTCAAATAGGGCGACTGCTGCTTTTTTTTTATACTCATTTAATGCAATAAAAAGTATAAGTGATATAATTATAAAATAATAAGATATTTTATTTCATTAATTACAATTACAAGAATTATTCATTTGACATTATAAATTGATGTTGTTCTTCCTTGCAAAATGGGCGAAATGTCCCAGAAGAATTTTAATTTGGATATGAGTTTGGGTCAGGAAAAATATCATAGCGATGTTTGCCCTATCTGACGTGTTGTCGTACCAAATACTTAGTACATTCCCACATAATACCCGAATCCCTATTTTCTTAAGTATTTGGGAAGATACTTAATATTCGGCAGGATAACATGTTAGGTAGTGCGAAACATCACGTCTTATTAGTGATATTAAGATGGCTTGGCTTCAGAAAGGCGAGGACAAAGGCTGGAATATTATATGGTACATTGATTGGTGAGCAAGTGCCAGCGATGATAGACCTCCATCTAAATTATGCCGTATAGCGGTGTTGAAGAGAAATTGTTTTGTTAATTTCATTAAGATTTGTATTTTTGTATGTTACCAAACAGATGGCACCATATCAGCCAAAAGTCTATCGACAGCGACTGCATTATGTGATTAAAGATCTTGGAGGTGGTTGTACAAGCAGGCCAAGGCGTCAATACCTTTTTAGTACCCAACCATCAAGGAGGCAGAGAACAGCAGCAGTGAGAGCAGCGGTGGCAGTCTAAGGGAAAATTCAAAATGAAATTGCTTCTTTTTAAGTAACATAAAAGTTATGAAATTGAGCAAAAATTGTTTATTTTAAAATAGATTACATGATTCCTGGATTTGAAAAATGAGAAAAATAATAGAAAGTATTTCAATCATTTTTATCATCATAGTATTTTGGATCCTGTTAGCAAGCAATAACTATTAATAAAGCTTTGGCTCTCAAGGGTAAACGTTACCGTAATTAAATAATAATTCGGGTTAATAATCTAATAAAATTATGTACCTTTATTTATGGAGAGCTGATTTCATGGGGCCCTTAGCTGTTTAAACTGCTTCAATACTAATTCAAGCTTCAGTTGTTTTATTGTTTTATTATGTGTTTTTAAAATTATAGGATCGAGAAATGTGTTTCTAACATAGAAAGATCCAGAGGGATCCAGACTAGATGGTCAAAACAGGAAGAGCAGTACAAGGATGCTCAGCAATCCTATGCCGCCAAATTTAAGGCCAATTCACTCCACAAAATGTTGAATGTCGCACAAGAACGAAGATTTTTTCTGGGATTGAAGAAGAAGTACTTTGGTAATGACAATGATTATGCATTGACTAGTGCTGACAATGATTACATTGGGATGACACATTCAGTGTTGACTCAATGAATTTACATGGTCCAATGATGTAGTTTAAAAATGGGTACTGACTGTGAATACACACGAAAAACACTAAAGTAGTCCAATACTATTATTTAGTGTAATTTGTGATCTAAATTTTACAGCTATTACTATTTGCAATTGTTGTATGATTTTACAATTTACAGATGGCCAAGCTGTTGCAAAGAGAATATGTGTGCAAATTAACAGGACAAGTCGGATATTGAGAAAGAGGTTAGCAGATAATAATGCTGTAGTGACTGAAAAGCTATTGTTTGCAGATGTGTCAGACCCAGATGGAGAGATTCACCTCCCTATATATAAGATAGTTACCTACATTAATACAGTAATGTTGATATTGTTTTCTTTATTTTATTGATTGTGCCGCATACAGCCCGCCAGTAATTTTTTTTTGCGGTCCGCGAAAATAAATTACAAACTCTATGTTTGCAAACCATTTTTGGCTAGAAAAAAAACTTGATTCTTGCAGCCCGGTACCGATCATCTGTGAAAATTAACAGTAAAAGTGAGCATAAAGTGATCATAAAACAGCGTATGAAGGTTTTTGGAAGCACACTGAAACATCAAAGTTTGAATGAAAAACATTGGAGTTGAATAAAAAAATTGTACTTTGGCCCTCCGACCAATTTTAATGCCTGCTCTTAACACTCTATACTTTTTTCATTGTAGGGTATATACATTTTTTTTATTGTAATTTTGTGTATTTAAACTTTGACATTTATGCGCGATGTGCTACCATCTTTGCTCACTTTCAGTGCATTCACTTAATGCTGTCGTGTGCAACTACTGTTGGTTTTTCCTTTCCTTGGTTGAGTGAAGCAATACACATTAAGCACCTTTCCCAAGGACCAAACAAATCTTGGTTTGGAAATTATAACGTCTCAATTAAAAGCTAAATTTCTTGCTCATGTGCCACTTTCTTAATTTCTTAATCATATCTTAATTCCTTTTTTTTAAGTATAGCCACATCACCAAGTGGCATTTATTTATTTTTGTTCTTGTTGTTGCCATCATTAATAATATTTAATTTTCTTTATTTCTTACAGGAACAGGTGGGAACCAACATACCCTTTTCTGTTAAGCGTGACATCAATAAATCTGACTTAAAAAATAGGGCAGTAGAAGAAATTAAAATGATTGATGAAGAAATGAGAACTGTCTTATCATATTACAAAGAAAAAGAACTTCATTGCTACACACAACTGTCAAAAGAAACATCTGGGACTTATGAATATGCAGTACTTGTAAAAAGATCTTTTTTTGCTGTGTTTACATTAATTAACGAAAAACAAATTTTTTAGTTTTTATAAAAAGATATGTAAATCAAACTGGTCACAAGGCAAATTAGTACATAATCTTTTCATTCATTAAATTCATCACTGGATTTCTTACAGGAACAGGTGGGAACCAACATACCCTTTTCTGTTAAGCGTGACATCATTAAATCTGACTTAAAAAAATAGGGCAGTAGAAGAAATTAAAATGATTGATGAAGAAATGAGAACTGTCTTATCATATTACAAAGAAAAAGAACTTCATTGCTACACACAACTGTCAAAAGAAACATCTGGGACTTATGAATATGCAGTACTTGTAAAAAGATTAGAAGAATTCAAAAATTTATTGAACAAATATGAACATTTGTTTGGTCATCGAATGGTAGAAGAAGTGGAGCAAGAAGAGGAGGATCAGGAAGAAGAGGAGGAAGATGAAGAAGAGCTAGATGAAGAGGAAGATGACTTACATGAATATGATGATTCATCCAGTGATGAATTTAATGAATGAAAAGATTATGTACTAATTTGCCTTGTGACCGGTTTGATTTACATATCTTTTTATAAAAACAAAAAAAATTGTTTTTCGTTAATTAATGTAAACACAGCAAAAAAAGATATTTGTGAAATATCTTTCGCAATGTCTTCGAATCGAATAACACGTACTGAATTTTATCTATACATTGCTGTAAAATTTTCTTTAAATATCCTGTTTAATCTCTGCCATCGGCCTTTATTAACGTAAAGTACTGTCTTATTGTAACTTTTTCATACGAAGTATTTTGTTACATATACCACATTTGGCGAGTTTTGAGGCTATTATGGGGCCACCCATACAGCCGATGGAGTTGAGGGGAAAGGGCAAGGCTAAGCCGGGAAAAGAAGATGGTGATCAGCAACCGGATAACGTGAGTAGGCCTACTGTGCCCGAGTTTGAATGTTTTGTAAGAAGTTCATTAAAATCCTTACTAGATGGACAAAGTTCCTTACGTGATAGTATTGTTAATCTTCAAAAACGACAAGACGTATTAGAAGCTAAGTTGGCTGAATATGAAAGGAATGTTGGTGCATTAATTGAATTCCAGTCGGCCCGCACGTCGGACATAGAAAAAATATGTCGGCCATAGAAGATCAACA